ATATATATATATATATTCATAGCGGTATGGCGGATGAGACGAAAAAAAATAAAATTCTCATTGAAGTTTAGTCAATTATTTTTTTAACTATTTTTTTTTAAGTTAGTAAATATAAATAAGAAGAGAAGAGCAAAATTATTAATTTATTTTATACGGTATTAAAAAATTAAAATTCAGGTTGTTCGATTGACCTTGTTGGTTCGCTATTGTCCACTGTGTTCAATAAATTTTTCATGGATTTGGAGTCTACAAGCGCTAACACAACCACATGGAAACATCACCAAGCAGGAGCTTGGAGAAAGGGTCCTTCGTTCACGGCTTAGAAACACAGGCTTCACAAAAAAAATTAGTTTGAGGGCGGCGTAATTAGGCCAGTGAGATTATCCCGACAGTTCAGTCCTTTGCAGGGCCCGTTTGGGGCAGTCTATAAGTGCGGGCGGCGTTTTGAAAACGTCGCCTCACTGTTTGGTTCGCACTTATTGGGCGATTATTGAAAACAGCGTTTTGAAATTTGTAAAAGACACGGACCGTGGGACAACTCCCGCGGTCCGCGTTTTCGATCCAAGTATTACCCTCGTTGCCTTGCTCTTATACGCATCCGCCTTCTCTCGGTCTCCTTCGCATTTCACATACCCTAAGCGGTTCTCCGCTACGATCCCTGAAGTCTCTCGGAGGTTCTCCTCTACGATCATTGAAGTCTCTCGGTCTCCTTCGCATTTCGCATAGCCTAAGCGGTTCTCCTCTACGATCCCTGAAGTTTTCCCTCTTTTCTTCTTCGACATTTCTCTTAATAAGTAAAACAATTCCTTCGCATTTCTAGTCTTCCTTCTCTTCTTCGACATTTCTCTCAATAGGTAAAACAATTCCTTCGCATTTCTAGTCTTCCTTCTTCGGCATTTGCAGAGGTGCTATATGCGACTTCTTGCTATTTCATCGTCTCTTGCTATGTGTTCAACTGCGTACTTATAAGTAGGAATTGGGTTGATGTTCTTTCTCATCGGTTTGATTTTTTGTTCTTGGTTTGGAAGAATCGTTACCCCGATCTTCTTCTTCGATCTTCGTTGTTTTTTTACTGTACTCTTTTTTTTTACCTCCACGAATATGTTAATTTCGTGTATTTTTTCTGTGAGGAATGATAATTAGCAAACAAACAACATCTGTTTGTCGAAATGATGTCATGAATGGCTCTACAAAATCAAAATGAAACAGGGGCATATTAATCATTTATCCAGAATCAACTGTTCTCAAAACACACCAACCAAACAACCGTTCTGTTTATTCAAATCAGCTGGTCATCAGCAGATTATCAGAATAAGCTGTTTATCAACACAAACTGGATAAACTGCAGCTGCCCCAAACAAACCCTCAATCCCTGATTCAAGATTGACAACAAATTCTTATGGACACAATGATCTCAAAGGGCTTTCTACATGAGCGGTGAAGTCTTAGATGTTGATTTTGGAACATGAAATTTTTTTTGGGGGATCAAGAGAAGATTTGGAGTTGTATTCTTGTAACTTCCAATCATTACAAAGAGAAATTTTGAGTGGTGTCATTTATGCTTTTTTTTCGTTCATTGTGAAATATTGGTATGGGAGCCCTGAGAAGAGAGAAAGGAAGAGAAAGAGGAAGACAATAAAAAATATAAATATTGTATATAATAATGTTGAGAAAATAGGGTAAAGAAAAAGAATAGTCGACACAAATCCAGAAAAACACAAAGATTTAATGAGGTTCGGCGAAGATGTCTACGCCTCGGGAGCAGAGCGGCGGGTTTCTTTTAATATTTAGAAATTAGATTATAGAATAGAGGATACCTCCTGGGGTTACTAACAGATCTATTTATAACTTTAGGAGTAAACTCTAAGCACAATATGTAATTACAACATTACGCTTGTATCATACCGCGGGGGTTTGCCCCTGCACCCCAAACCCACGTAACTTCCCAATTTGGACAGATTCTTCCGCTCCGCTCCGCTCCGCTCCGCTTCGTTCCAGCATCTGTCCCTACTTCATTTAAGTGGCAAAATTGTCTAGTTAAACCGTGGAGCTTATTTTTTTCTTGAGGTTAATCTGGGGCAGAAGAATTTATTTATCCATGATATGACTTTTACAGGCTTTGAGGCATGATAATATGCGGAAGTAGAGAAAATCTTTTCATAAATATTATCCCATATAATTTAATGTAATATTTTCAACTGTTATCTTTCATGTTCAACCCTAACTTTTATGATTTTAGATCACAAAATATTGGAAATAGGTACACAAAAAATATATCAACATGAATCTCAAGGTAGAATGGACGGCTCATAAAGATGACACGTTTGATCGACATTTTCTTTAGTAATAGAATGATTAATGCTAGGAAGGAAGGCTTTTGGATAGATCGATCGTAAGGACGAGCCATAGGATTTCCTATCGGAGGACAATCAGCCTTAGGGCCGATCGGTAGATTGTTGAGTTTCAGATCAAATATCGATGGAGTTAAGGTCAGGCGAACGGCCGGTGAACTTTTCACCGACCGACATCAATCTGTCAGTTTTAGTATATTTAAATATCTTTATAATTACTAAAAAACCTTTTAAAATTTAATGATAAAGAGTTTGACCTGTAATTTTGTAACACTGACGCCTATCCCTATAAATAGTGGACCTATACTATGAATAAAAGTTTTATATTCTTGTCATTTTCTACTAGACTCACTCTTGAATTTCTTTGAATAAAGTTCTATAATTTGGGTGTATTTTCAGGACACTTTTGAATTCAACAAAATGAATATGTTCATTAACTAAGACGCTCCTAAAATTTTTATTTTTATTTTTTGGTTCGTTTGTTTTAAAGATACAAAAAGTTATTCTTGAAACAATATGACATATTAGTATACTATATATATTTATATTCATAGTATAGCATCAACAAAATGACAAAAAGAAAAATCATAAAAAACAGAAAATATCCCAAATGAACCCATGCTTTTTTAAATTTATTTAGCGACTTCCATCGGATTCATTACATGGATTTGAAATTTGATTGAAAGCTTTGCATGCAACAATTATTGTTGGCCCATGGGGCTCATATGGATGGCGTGTGATTTCATAATTCTATTTCTACTAGGTGTTGAGAAATTAGGACGAATAAAAGTAGTAATCGACACAAATCCAGAAGAACACACAGAGATTTAACGAGGTTCGGCAATGTGCATATTTCCTTGGGAGCAGAGCGGCAAATTTCACTATTTCAGATAAGTCCAATATATACTCATAGGATTACACATCATATATATATATATATAGATAAAACCCACAGATAAAATTACTAATACGCCCTCGCTCCTCCTAACCTACTTATCTCCAAGAGACACAAATATTCTCTCCAGCCAATTGTCTGTGTGAAAATATATAAATTTTATCTATATATATATATATAATTTATATATATTAGTTCAAATTTTATATATATACATAATTGCAATATATATATATATATAAGTGAAACATTTATGATGTGTATTTCTTTGAATAATACTATATATAATTGACAAGTATATAGTATTAATTACTTGTAATACTATATATTAATTCTCTCCAGCCAATCATTTATATATTCTTCACTTATATAAATAAAAAGAAATTTAAGAGACAATTGGCACAATATATATAGGGATTATGTTTATATATTTGTCATATCAAAATGCTAATATATCCACCACCAAAAAAAAAAAAAAAAAAAAAAAACCAAATACATTTTGCGACTTACCTTTAGTGATACCATAGACACTTAATTCTGGAAATCCAAATAAACCTCCGACAGAGGAAATGAACACAATACTGCAAATTCTCGAAGCCTTGAGAAGAGGGTGAGCCAGTTGACTCAAATGGAATGCAGATTCCAAATTTGTTGACAATAAAAAATCATAATCTTCTTCTGTAAATTCTAGAACAGTCTTAAATAAACTTGTCCCTGCTTTATTAATCTAGATACATGCAAGCATTTTAAATATAACTACTTATAGGCACAGAATCTCTCTCTGTCTATATACAATTAAAATGCATTTAGTTACTTCCAAGTATGTTGAGCTTTCCTTGGAACAAAGAAGAGACATTGTCCATTAGTTTCTCTATCTCAGCTCGAGAAGAAACATCACAGACAGATGTTGTTACATCAAGCTTCAAGCTTTTTCAGTGCTGCAAAGATTTATCGAGTTCTTGTTGATTCCGAGCACATGTGTGTAATTTTGCTCCCAGTCTTGCTAACAGTTTACTCAAGAAATTTAGCAGTCAAGCTTGTTGAAAATATTAGCTCGTTGGAAAATTAGCACTATGACTTTTAGGGTGCTGCCAGCCGGATGTGGTTGCTTGGCTATAAGCTCGTATATGAATATCTCCGCCATCATAATTGGTTTTTTAGTGTTTTTTTTTCTCAACTAAAATCATAAGAAAATTACACTTGCTGGCGTGAGATCTACAAAACTACAAAACAGAGGCCAAGCAGCCATAAAAGCGCATGAAGAAGATGGAAGACCACCAGGCAGTCTTACTGTTCCAAAATACAATCAATACTTTTATAAAGCATATGAGATTGGCAAAAGTCCTTTCAAGAGCACAAAATGCATTTGAGCTTTAAGTTCTTGCGACAGGAAAAGCCATGTTCAATGCCCCCAACTTTGCGCTTGTTTTTGGCATTTAGTTCACCTCTCTCCATTCGAGAGAAGAATTGATTTGTCTCTCTCTAATGGCCTTCATGTTGAAATATAAACTTGATTTTAGTTGTTTAAATAAAGCTTAATTTCTATAAGCTTATTCTAGAATATGTGGTAGGTATGAAATTATTGTGTAGTAGGT